CGTGATGTAAAAGCTACGGTTATCAAGCGATTCTATTACAGTCGGAAAACTTTCGAGGATTATTGCCAATTTTGGTATAATCGCATGACCTTGACTGGCGGAAGTCATGCCTGGACCCACATTCGGCGCATTAGAGTTTTATAGTTTTTTAACACACATAACACTCTCGGAATAGCAGGGGGAAGGAATAAATAAAATTTGACAAGGGTTTTATTTTAGTAAAGATCACAGAACCTTGACCGAAAAAAATTACGGTGTTTAAACTGGTTCAGGTATATTCGGTTTTGATAAACGATCCTCAGTATTCAAGTTGTTAATTAGATGTACGATAAATGCATGTAACACGAATTCAGTCATGGAGCGCTAAGTTTGAATGTTCTAGCTTTTCGAATGTTTCATTTAGCTTGACAATTCAAAATCCCATCTCTAAATCATATTTTGTATCGTCTAATGAGAGTTTTTCTTAAGTGTGGCCTTAGCAATGGCGAACGATTAAACCGTGTTAAAGACATTCTGCAATTTCGTGAATGCTCTTTAAATAAATACGAAAACCTGTACAGGCGCTTTCATTGGTTACTGTAATGAAACTGGTTATATTCTATTATCCTAAGATTTAAATGTTTTGCTTATATCATATTTTGCAGCTTTATTTTTTATGCTTTATGATGACGAAGAAAATAAAGATTGGGAATAATTTTATTATATATGCAATATACCAGATGTGGTTAAATGAACAACGAATTTTATAATTAGGGGAATTGGGTGTAGTCTCTCCTACGTCATTTCTTCCACATACATTTAACTGTTTGTGTATTTTTATTGTTAGCATTTTCTTACTGTGTGTGTTAATGATAGCCACACCCCCCCCCCAATAGTGCAGTATTAGCTAGAAAATATTATATCATAATGTTTTGATTCTAGAAGCCAGTTTTCGTCAAGATGCTGCTAACCATAAACCAACTAGAAAATGGGAAGGCTTGCGTTTGGTTATCATCTTTGCATAACCACAATCTGTTAGTTTAATGGTCGTTCAACGGGTTCCTTTAAGTGTTCACAATTTCTCTTATACGTAGCCAATGTATCCGCTATATTAGAGTATTGCAGTGCTGCCACCACTAGTATCATGAATTTAATTACCTCATTGGTCAGACTCTAATTACATCAAAATTAATATTCAACCAATGATTGATGTGGATAATATTTCGCATGGGGATGATCAATACGACTATCTACTGTGCACACTTATATTGAAGCTAATCCAGCCAGTTAGTCTCGCCCTCAAAAAATGTTCCCAATACGCATGGTCTTGTTTTTTTTTTTGTTAAAGGAAACAAAAGTGGTATATATATTTTAACAAGGGGAATGGTGGCATCCCCCCCCCCCAGTCGTTGAAATGTGGTTTAGATTCGGGTTATTTATCAAAAAACTTTCTAACCAATCACTAAGTGCCACACAATCTTTTAAGGTTTACGTAACAACAAATTTGAAAGTTTGTGTAATCAAAAAGTCTTGAGTAGAAGTGCCTAGTGCACCCTAGCGGTTAACGTGCCGGACTGTGGAGCTGTTAAGCACAAAGCTATACAATGGGCTATCTGTGCTCTGCCCACCACGGGTATCGAAACCCGGATTCTAGCTTTGTAAGTCCGCAGACATACCGCTTAATAGGGGCGTAATAGGGGTTAAGATACTACATTTTATCACTGAATAGCAAACGTCTTTACTGTCAAGACTTAAGTAATTTTACGAGTGTTTATGTACACCTAAATTGCACACATAGTCCTAAAATTATGTAGATATTGAAGTTGAGGACAGAAACGGCCATTCCTGTTTTATTTTGCTTAATAGGTTATTTCGGTATTAATATATATTTGGATTTTCCATTATTGCAAATAAGTTCTATATTTTGGGTAATGACTTTCAACAAATGCTATGTTTTTATTCTGGAATTATCTCCAGATTATATTAGTAAACCTTATTTTATATTGAAACGTGTCAGATACCGTAAATAATAATATTTTTGCATGAACTTTCAGCGTGCCAATTCACAAATTGTTTTCTTTGCACTTTAGTTGAAGTATTACAGTCAAATTATTCTTTGACACTTGTCAGGTTTTATGGGGCCAGATTCTTTACAGTGGGTGTCTGTGACTAGGCAATAAATTTCAACAATAATATATTCAAAACAAGTCAAACGTATGTCAAAAATTCATTACACTGTTGTTTACCACAGTTGAATCTAGAGCTTTAAATAATTCTCTTTTCCGTCAAAAATCCACGCAAGCTTATTCAATTACTTTAGAAGACGAATTATTTCTTCTCTTCTCTGTTATCACAATACAAGCTGTGAAACTCACTTTAGAATCGCCAGTTGCTACTAAACTGATAATCACGCGGTCTAACTTCACTTTCACTAACTTAACGTCCTCTCCGTATCTGCACGTATTTATAACACGCGCCAGGAAAATTTAGAATTATCTAGCCCTCTAGTAACAACAATATTATACAATATCAATAACAATATCTTAGAAGCTTCAGTAAGATGACGTCAACAATATTACAAACGTCTAGTACAACAATTAAACTACATACATAACGTACGACTCGTACAGGGTTACGTAACTAAACTTGTTATTGCTATTGCTTTTAAAATAATTAACTTTTAACACTCTTGCTATGAAAACTGAATAACTTTTAAACGGAACAGTCCTGTATATCCAACAATACTTTGTTTTAAATGGATATGTTGAGTTTTTTAGCGCAAAACTGCATAATGGGC